CTATGAGAGAACATGTCGCCGGTGAGACGCAAGTCCAGGAAGAACGGAATAAGGTAGAAACACATTTTTTTTTCCTGTTGAAAGAAGAGAGTCTACTCTTTCTTTTGGTGTGTTCGGTGTTTACATAGTCATAGCACAAACTATTCTGGGGCTCTTGAAAAATCAGTCAAAATGCTCAAAAAACTCTGGCAGTATGGGACTCTCTGTTCTGAAAATGGCTGCCAGTCAATGAGTTAAAGTTGTTGATCAATAAAAATAATCTGTCTCTCCTTGTTTTGTCCCCCAGTGACTAAACCCTGAATCGTGTTCATTATGAGAGCAACGATTAGTTAGCTAAAGGTGCTACGTTTTTAAGGTTAAAAATGGCCGCTTCCTGGTTTGGGCTGTATTGGGACGCCTTCACACTTAGTTTTCGTACACACCGTGCCTCTCACTTGCTGTTTCTTGGGTTCCGGCGACATCTCCTGTGGGATGAATTTGATTGGTCCTTTGATCTGCCTCCTGGATCTCTTGGTGCCATCCGGCAGCGTTTCCATGGCGATGTCGGCCTCGTCGCTGCTGGCCTGGTCGCACTCCGAGCATTGCCTAAGAACCAGGGTCATTTTTAGAACACAAGAACAGTTTTGCCCTCATAATAATGTTGTTTTTTTTTGTTTTGTTTGAATGCTATGCTAGTTCTGTTTCAGTTTCCACCTACTGCTTTGGCCTTTAAACACACAGGAAAACAGTTTTAATCTAATTGATCTCAATAATTAGTCCTTTCCACATTTTACAAATGTATAAGTGGATATTCAACAAAAAAGACATGTTTAAAATATGTATAAAACTAAGAGTCTTCCAATGGAAAACATCCCCATTGTTTATAGTCTTCTAAAAAAAAACTTTCAACTAAATTTAATTTACCACACTGCCACTGCGAAGTGCCAAATTGCTGTAATTATTCTTGTGAATCTTGTAAAGATATTCTATTCTATTCTTTATTCTGAGAGAAAAAAGAAAGAAATCAACAGCTTGATTGTCGAATGCTGTAGAAACCTGATTGTTTCTTGAATGGCTCTAAGAGACTTCAGAGGGAACAGACATTTAATTGGGTTTGCTGAGTAAAAAAAAAAGAACAATAACTTTAATACATTTTTAAAAAATGATTGATTTGCTTGTTTAAATGTTTGAGAGTTTTGAGTCAACTCAACCAATCACCTCAGTCCATTTTAAGATGTTTTTAGTACTGATTTTGGACCACAAATCTCCACTGATGGACCAGAGAATCCTTGTTATTCATTTAAAAGGTGAAGAAGTTTGAATATGACCATCAGCTCTTTGTTAAGCAAACTAACCTGATCAATTTTAGATATTCACAGCGTAAAATTAAAGGCAGACCAGAGAGTGGACAGTAACTCACTATCGGTGCCCAAAATAAGCAGCTTTGTGCCTCATTGTGCAGCTTTTTTCATTAATTCAAGCCCATAATTAACTCTGACTTTAAACCTACAGACTTTTCTTGCTTGAATTCTATCTAATTTTTAAAAATAATTTTACTTTTTAGAGATAAAATTGATCATTTCAGTCACAGACAAACTTCATTACAGAAAGGGAAGCATATCCTTTATAATAAAATCAGCTGTATCTTTAATTTATTTAATTTAGTAGACAAAGGGGGGAAAAAAACTAGCTAAGTAACCAGAAGAATACACACAGCAGATGCTTTAAA